GTTTTGCTACAGTAGGCTCCATTCTTAATTGTGGGTCATCCTTAACCCGGGGACTACCTGTATTGGAAACTTAGGTAGGATGTAGTACACCTGAAACAGCACTTCCTGTTCACTTTCCTTTTCATATTACTCAGAACAACTTTCTACCTAACATCTTCCTCCTGCCAACTAATAACAGCCAATCTGATTTTCATTATCTGTCTTTCTGGTAGTCATAGAATTAACTAGAAATGAGTGCCACAACTGTGGGTATCAGGAAGGGGGAAGAATTATGAAACATTAGATAAGTGCCACAACTTACTTACGTGCATCAGATGTTGAGCGCAAAGATGTAAGGATGGCATATGCATGATGACATCACTGTACTGTACTGTGTTATTTTACCATCATTGCAGTTCGCTGCAGATGGTACTGGGCCCCCATCCTTTGGGGCAGAATTCCTAGAACAGTATTCTGTCAACAGGTATCCTCCAGAAATATTGCACCACAACCACTTTCATCCCCAGATGAATGATCGTGCTGGTTGGAGATAATGACAATTGCAGTCTAACATATCTGGAGACTACCAGGTTGGAAATGCCTGCTTTAGTGTGTGTGTGTATATGTGTTAAGAGCTAACTTCATTGCCAATCCTCTTAATTCAGATCCAAAAATATAAAAGCTTCCTTCTTTACTTAACCTCAATATTTCTTACAATTCGGTTGCAACATTACTTGTCAACATTTTTATTTTATGGAACAGGCTAGTATATTTAATTACAAATTTTGTTCAGATAACTTGAGACTTGAAACAACGTGTACAGAATTGCAGCTGACAAAAATCAAATAATTTGCGCCATCTCCATCATTGCAACACAATAGGAAAGAGAAGAAATGTAATCTGTATTGCAAAATACAGAGACATTTTGAATGTTTTGGTCTTAAATGCCCTGCTTCTGAGATTAGATGTATGCTTCTTGTACTCTAAATTTCACAGGTCAGTCTAACCTTTGAAATGCAAGCAGAGAAGAACACTTTGTTTTCTGACATGCTGTTCTAACTGGGCTCTTCCTGGCTAACTTAGTAGACTATGGAAGAGTCTTACATGGAAGGAGGCATGTTCATTTTTTTCTGTTTGCTTTTTTCATACTTCCCAGTAGAGAGAAATGTTAATGTCATAGCTACTTTAATTGAACTGTTATTTTCCATTAGTTTCCAAATAGTTGTGTCATTGTAGAACACATGTACATTTTGGAAAACTAGGTGTTTCAGGACTTACGTTGTCTACCCCAAGAAAAGTATAGATCTCTGTAACATGAACATCAATATTATTTTTGTAAACTCAATAGGCAACTTAGTATAACTGTTTTACATAGGAATTTTCCCTCTGACATTGCTAATAAAAGGCTTTTTCATAGTCGTGTTAGAAAACACTTGAGGTCTTTAGAACAATGAAGTATTTTTCAGTTTTGAAATTAGATGAGAAATATATCGGTAAAGTTTTGGGGGAAGGAAACTTGGTTAAAATGCTACATGACCTATTACCTGTGAAATTATCTCTTCATCTCCCCCATTTTCCCAAATACAGTACACCTTGATGGGGGTGCCTCTTTTTGATGAATGATTCTTATATTCACGTTGAAAACCATAAGCTCAGGTTAGGGTGATTTTGTGAGCAATAGATCATTCTTAAAACAAAGGATGCTTTGGCAAAACACTGATATATGCACACAATTACTTACTAATGAACATGCTTTTTTGTATTAAGTGAAGTGTCCAGCAAACATAAATGTAATTCTGGAATACACAGTCACTTGATTTCAGTGGTTTAGATCTTAGTTGCAGAAAGTATAGATTTTGAACAATTTTTCGTGACTAGATGCTTGTGATAAAAGAAAGATGAAGTTGCCAAAAAAGTTGTTTCCAAGATGTCAGTCAAGTTGCAGCTGTACTCAGCCAGATGTGAAGCCAGTTCTAATTCTCTGTTTTGTTTTTCTCAGCCTAGTATTCCTAACATCTGTTATCGGATATGGCTAGGCAAGATTAGAGAATTTATACCAAGGTTGGTCATCCCAGAAACTTCAAAGGCTCTGCCCTCTGTGCCAGGAGAGAGCTCTAAGGTTTGGTTGCTGATTGTGCAAGATAGTTCTCTCAAGCTAAGGAGAGCTTTGATTGCTTTGGAGCAGCTGCCATCTTGACTTTTTTGACCATATTCTGCAGACACTCCTGGTTACAAACCCACAGTGCAGTAGAACTGGGTGATAGGAATTCATCTTTGTCATTGCCTTTCAGTGCAATTTGCATTTTGGACTATCTCCTTTCTTGCAGCCACATCATCTTGGCCTCCCAATCCTCTCCCGTTGCTATGCTTAGATATGCGAGACTGTGCTTTCCAAGGTAGATAGGTCATGAAGGCTGCTCAGATCCTTCAGTGGGCACTTTTTCTTTATATATGTGGGACAAAAAGAGTTTCAAGTTGGCTCCCCATACTTCATTTTAAGTTGAGAAAAAGCACAGATACAGCTACCTGCTTCATAGTGAAGTTGACATGTAGGTTCTTCCTGTCTCTTACACTATCAGGTATCTACAGGTAGTCCCTGGATTAAGAACACTCGGTTTAAGGACGACCAATAGTTAGGAGTGGAGCATACTGTAGCAAAATTTGCGTTAAATGCACAATGGTTTGAGTTCATTACACAATAATACAGTATTATTCAATAATACTGTTCTGGCTTACATACAAATTCAACTTAAGGATAGATCTTGGGAGTGGAACTACGGAACTCATTCTTAAACTGGGGACTATATATTTTCCAAAGCCCCTTCTGCAAAAGGGCTGCTTACTAGATGAACAAAAATAGTCTTACCTCAGAATTACAAATGAACCTGACCGTCAACGGTGGGGATTTCTTTTAAAATACTAAATAAGCTAGAAATAAATGTTTGCAAAGAAGAGGAGATCATGCAGACCAGTTTCTCATTTGATTACTCAGGGTGGAAAGAATATGGTCTCAGGCTAGGTATCTAAGCTATTTAAGCTTAAGTTTAAGGTACAAACTTAACTGTCTTACACAAACATTTAGTCCATTCATTTGATAATGTGTTTGACCTATTGTATTTATAATATGAAACTGTTAAACATGCCACAGATGTGGATTTTCTTAAAAATACTTAAGAATATGTCAGAGAACGTAACTCTTGCCACACAACATTACCTAACTTTTGTTTAAATGTGATTAGAGCTACTTTGTGTATATATGATGAAGGATATGTGGAAATGTACATGATTTCTGACACGTTTTACCTGCATCCTAGATGACTCTGTACTTTTTACTGTGGGAGGCAGAAGGTCGAGTAAATGGGATCCAATGGAAAACAAAGCCTGGATTAATCACTCTGTATCAAGTTATCAACAGTGAAATGCTTTACTGCCTTGCAGTTTATGACTCATCCTGCAGCATTTCTAGAAAAGCCTTTTCCGGTTTATGATGAAAAGAGCCGTATGTAAAATGTGTTGGTAGTGCTGCTTTG